AGAAGAAAAAAACCTATATTAATCTCATAAACTACCTACTATATAAGGCAGAACCTGAAATAAAATATTACTATGAATGGTTGATATCTATGATGCATTGTTTCCTTTAATTTTTGATAAATAACTCTTCATGATTTTTTTCCCTTCCAAAAGAGAACAATTCCCTTCCTGTTTTAGAATACCAATTTCTTAGAACCCTAATAGAGTTATTTTATGGTATTTTCATAGTCATTCATTAAGCAGTATGTTAAATGCCATGCTAATATATTCAACCTCTGTACTCCAGCAACATCTTGGGTTTACAGGAATAAGATATGAGGTATACCAGAAAAACTGCCTTTTGAGGTCTCAGTTTTCAATATTTTGGGCATAAGGAATTATAAGATAAATACTTTCTCATTTGAGAAGAAAGAACAAAAGAAAATAGGCAAGAATAAAAAAAGTGAATAAGATGAAGAATGGAGGAGAAACAGTCAAGTGAGAAGTGATGAGGATGGTAAAGGAAAGGAGAAAAAATGGAATTAGAAAAAAAACCTTAAAAAATAAAGACAGTAATTTAGTAAATTTAAAAAGACAGAGAGAGAAAGAAAGGGAACATCTGGTGTTAGTCAATATCATGGTATTGATTCCATTCAATAAGCCACTCCTTCCTGCTGAAGTTCAGGGACTGGGCCATAGGGTGAGAGGGAGGGGAGGGGAGGGGAGGGGGGAGCTGGGCTTTAATGGGTCACCACATTCTGTATCCATTCTGATGATGCTGGTTTCCCTTGTAAACAGCACTCTCCTGTTCTGGGGTTAAAGGAACAAGACGGTGAGGACAAAATCAAAAAGGAGAGACTAGAGGTGAGAATAAGAGAGAATAAGGAAGACACCTTCAAGAATTATATAAATGAAGTTAGAATGACTTTTCCAGATGACTCAGTAGTCCTTTAACATGTTCCCTTTCCCCAGCCCCCACTGCCACCACCTGTAAGTCTTGTTGAGCAATGTTTGCCATTTGGTGGGTAATAAAAAACACTAGCTTACAGTACTCATCTTCCATTTCTCACTAATCAATGTCCTACATCCCAACTATTTGCTGTAATCTGTCTTTTTGACTCTCCCAACCTAGTTATTTTCCACTCCAGTAGCCTTTATAGCAACATATATTAAACCATTTCATGCCAGAATGTAGTCACCAGGTTCCAGAAGACCTTTCAAAATAATAGTGAATATGTTTTAATATTTACACAAAATGAAAGGAAATTTTCCAAATGCTGCATTCAACCACCACATACCCCACTCCTTTTAACTGATATTCCTAAGAAGAAAATATCTGTTTTTAGTATGGATAGAATCTTTAAAACACTTACACACCAAAAACAGTATTAACAAAATTTAACAGATTCATTAGGAATATGCCTCAATAGATTTAATAACTATAAGTAGTCTCATCAGCTAAAAAAACGTGTTAAAAGTGCATCGTGAGGGCAGAGTTGCTGGTTCAAACTATGCCGAGGTATCTCCCAGAGAGGGATGTAGTGGCAGATGAAGTGGAAAAAATCTTGGGAGATTCCAGCAGCTTTGAGGAGTTGGATCTTCACTGGCAGGGAAGACATGCAATAGGACTCAGTCTGCTTTGCTTGGATGTTCATGATTTTTTCTTCTTCCTACCTGGCAGCCACAGTTTCTCAGCCACAGAAGTATGTTGATTTGAAAAGCTTAAAAGCCATTTATAATAAAGAATATAGCAATATGAAAAAGGACATAAAATTTCCAGTTTCATTTCAAATAAGAAAATATACTTTTTAAAAAGAGAGCAAACTAGAAAATACATACATCTAATTGGACATCTTGAAGATACACCATACTAGCAATTTCAAAAAAAAAATAGTATTTGAATTCATCTGTGAATCATTCAACTTTCTCAGACGCTTAGGGAAAAATTTCAAGATGCTTTTCTATGTATTTTAAAATAAGAAAAGTTGTCAGATTTTATATTGTATATTACTACCTTTAGCAGTAGGAAATTTTAGAATTACAGAAAAATACTAACTGGGCTAATAACAATCAAAACATAAGATTGAACATTACTCTTCATTATTGAATCTAAATTGGTATAGAACAATATTGGCAATTATCTTGCTATTCTTATCAATTAATTACTGGATTAAAAAATAATACTAAGTATTTCAAATGTATTAGGCCACTCCTTAATGTAATTATTATATCATAACCAACCCCTAATGTCTCTGGTAATTAATGGAGGGACAGAAGGAGCAATTGTAGACTACAAATAATTTATACTTGTTTCAACTCATTTATCTACCTACCAAACCTTTTATAGTAACAAAACCCAGATAATTTCCATTTCATCACCTCTGTATATTGTCTAGTAAGAAGTTAAAAGCACTGTACAGACCAAAAAGGAGGCAACAGCAAGAAAGAGCAGACTAGGCTGCATTTAATAAAATGAGCCATTCTTACACAAATAGGCCTCTCATTTGAACACAAAGAAGACAATCTGGTAATTGATCACATTGTTAAGGAAGGCTACTTTTAGGGAATTCAACATATTCTCCTGTCAGAGAATGTCTCTGTTATCATCCAAAATCAAGTTGTAGGTTCTAGTAGCATTCTGCCGAGACACCAGACTCCAATTGGCCCAAGAGTTGTTGCAGGTAAAAGGGAGGAAGGTAGGTTGGAAAGTTAATTTTTATTGAGCTCTTAATGTGTGCCTGGCATTGTGATAGGTGTTTTACATATATATCTGAAGGAAAGGAGTGAGGAAGTAGCAATAAAGTTAAATTTCTAACCCATTTCTAATTTCACTCCAGCTGATTCACTGCCCTAGTTATGTAAATTCTCACTTCCTTTCCTCTTCTCTTACCCTTGGCCCCCCTCCCCCTTAATCTCTCACTGAATCGTGAGTTTTACTTACATGATCATTAGAATTCTCTTTTTGCTTGATAATTTTATAATTTGAGTTTGGGGAGGTAGTATAAAACTGAAGGCCTTGGAGTCAGAGAGCTTTGAGTTGCAGGCAAGTTAATCATTCTGAGTCTCAATTTCCACATATACCTTTTTTGTATAATTATTTTAAGTAGTAATGACATAAAATATGTAAAGTACTTAACATGATGCTTGGCACACTGTAAGAACTCAGTAAACGTTGGCTATGGTTATTATAATAAAAAGGTAAACTGATGCTTAGTTACTATGATTCACTTAAAGCCAAAAGTCAATTTCAGAGCAAAAACTGGAAGCAAGTTCCCCCAACCATCATTCTGTGTCACTTTCAATATTTTAGAATATTCCTGTGATGCAAAGATGTATTTACACATTCTCACAGTATTTAAGTATCATCAGTCTATATAGATTTTATCAGTTCACTTGTAGTCCCTTGAAGACTTTCGTATTCATTTGGTCAACATCAAAATCTTTGCCCCACAAAGAGTATCCTTTAAACAATTTTATTTTTCATTACAGACTAATTCCACCCACTTAGAATTGACCAACTGGAAATTGGTTCAACTATCGAACAAATGTCATATTTGTTCAGGTCACATGCAAAAATGGAGGCAGCATGAACATTACAAGAGGGAGAAGCTGCCTGTCTACTGAAGCAGCTGCTTTATCCCACTGCCCACATCCTCTTCCTAGGGGACAAGAAACTTAAGTTAGGACAAACACTTTGTATAGTTTCTAGTAATGACAACTTTCTCATTATCAAAACTGTCATAGTGTGGAAAGGCTTTGCTGATGACCAGAATTCTGCATTAATTATTATTAACCTAACACCTATACGTTTAATTTTTTTAAACTTTCATTAATTTTTATTCACTTAGTTAATGAACTCATTGAAGAAACAGTGTAATTTTAATTATCAGTGTTCAGGAGCCTCTCCACAATATCATAAAGTTCTCAGTTTACTCAAAGCCAAAGATGAAATATCTTCTGCCTTCATACCAGAATCAGTGAGAAAGACTGGAGTTTTTCACACCAGTCTTCTTATCCCCAAAATATAGACTTTCCTTTTAATAGTTTCTTCTATGACTAGAACAGGCAAAAACAAATTTAGTTAAAAGGTACAATAGGAAATAATTATTCACTCTGAAGGATTAGTGAGCTATAAGTAGAATATTTATCAGAAAAAACCCCCACATTTTTTGCAAATGAAGTTTATTATATTAATAACCAGATTTTCACTTCATTTGTTTTAGAGAATATACTTTATTTTGGCAGATATAGAAGAAGAAAGTAAATCAGCTGAGACAGAAAACAGCCCAAAGTGAAAATTATATGATGTTCATTTTCTAAAACTAACATTAAAGAAAACAGCCCTTGGAAGTCTACCCTAGACACAAAAATGCCACTGTCAAGATCTTAGCCTAGAAAGGGATTCATGAGATTCACAGAGCAAGAAAATTTTATGAACTTATTTAGTTACGTGCAACAGTTTTAAAACAAAAACTGTAGTCTTCTTTTGGGAAATGAAGAGCCAATTTGGCTATTAATTTTTAAATTTGTTTAAAAAATCAACATCTAAAATAAACCAATCTACTAGAAACTTCAGTGAACAAATCAGTGTTAAAGTAGATGAATGAACGTATGCCCTTACAAAACATACCTACTAGGAAATTCCATAGTTTGTGAAGTAAAACTTAAAAGTTTTATCCAGAAAAGGTTGAATTTGTGTGCATTATCACTTTAATTTTTAGCCCAAAATTATCTCAGGTCATGGGGTATATGACATTATCCTGCACCTGTCTATATAGAAATGCACATCTAACCTCAGCCAAAACCAGTATTTCCAAGTCTGGTATTAAAACTACGGTTTTTTAAAAACTATGCCTTATCTTCTGTCAAATAATTAAGAATACTGATTCAGCTATCTGAAAAAAGGCTATTCAATCATTTTGTACACAAACAGGCGTTTTTATTTCATTGATATCCTTTTAAAGCTTTTGCAAATCTTTATATTATTTCCTCCCACTGACTCATAACGTAATTATACATACCACAGTCTGATGATTAACTTGAATCACTTCATCGCCAGCATGGATTTTCTTGCACCGATCTGCAGGTGACTAAATTTAACATAATGGAAATGATAAAGAACATAAATTTTATCACTCATTTCTTTTCCCTGGAAATACTACAATAAGTTCACCTCTTTAGATCAAGAAATTATTTAATCTTGAAAAAATTAAACAAAAATGACTACTAGTGTTTAATATATTGTTTGCACTCTACAGATAACTAATAATGGAAAGTAGGATTTACTTTAAAAAATGATTTCCAGTTTATTTTTTATTCATTTCCAATTTCCAATTATTTCAAAACAAAGAAGTCTTGAAACAATATTAACCTCTATTCAACAAATTTTGAAATTCACAAAAGAATGATCTATCATAGGTCAGAATTCAAGGTAAGATAATATTCCAGAGAATTCCAGTTACTCAAATAATAACACAAGTATACTCTTAAGAGGGTAGTTCATCTAGGATATGAACTCAACCCTCAGAATGGTATCATAAAAGAAAACAATGTATTTTTATTCACAGCACCTTTAGGAGGTAGGTATATTATCAAATCAGACAAGTACCATGCAACAATTCTGAAAAGTGTATAAATAATTACTATAATAGGGCTGTCCCTGTGCTATCTGGCTTACAATTGATCTTTTTAAAGGAGAGTATAGAAGAAAAATATCAAGCCAATGGTTCTAATCATGGTGTAAAAGAAAATGATAGTTGGTATATAAAATTGAAAGAAACTGAAACAACTTCTTTCCCAGATAAGTAAAAAAGGGAATAAGTCATATAAATTATAGACTTTCAGTGTTAAATGGGACCCTAGAGATAATTTTGTCTGAACTTCTCATTTTACCTAAAAGAAAACTAAGAAACTAGGGCAGAGCAAAGCAAAATAACTTAACCACTTTAGTGAGCAGATTTACTAAGACTCAACAGAGATCTACTAATGATAAATGACTGAGGGTACCAAAAATAGTAAAACATTTTCAAGAATAAAGAATTAAATGATAAGCCATTAATATATGGTTCATATCTAAACTATTCATAGAATCAATCTTTCTTTGATCACTCACCCATTTATCAAATATTACTGAGTAATTAATATGAACAGTACATAGTACTCCACTTTTTTATAGACCCCAGACAATACAGAGATGCATTCCTATAAATTCTTCAAGATATAGCTCAAAATCATTTCTGTGATTATTTCTCTAGTTTCATTGGCAGCATTTATGATTCTTTCCTTTGTCTACACAAATTTCAGTGCCTGTTTACACACATAAACCCCTAGTTGCATTCCTTAGGAACAGCAAACTAGTTTAGTTTAAAAATTCCTTCAATACCTAGCCCCATGCCTGGAACAAAGCAGACATGAAACAAAAGTTTGTTACAAGAACAAATGAATAAATGAATGATTGGAGGAATGTACAAACAAATGAGAATGATGAATCAGTGATAGGAGTATCATTTACAGTATTTCACTGCTTTAAAAATTTTAATTGGTTGACAATATGCATATTACTGATATTTCTAACCCCATATTTAATACCAAATGTGAAGCCAGTATAGCAATCCAACTGCAATGTATATTATGTATTTCACTATTCTCAAGAAACCAAGAGAAGTTAGTGGGAAAAAAGCAATAAATGATTAAAGTACTAAGTGAATTAGATGAAAAGAATGTTGATTTTTTTTAAAAGAAAATGCTGGTAAAATATTGAGATCTATGACAACTTGAAATTAACTAACTCCACCCCAGTCTTCTTTGAAGGAACACAGCATAAACATGTAATTGGTCAGAATTTCTAAAAGAAAAAAAAAATTCAAAGCTCAGCACCTGCTGAAGAGTAAGATGGAAGTCTGGGACAACCAAATGGAGGAATAATGATTTATTATACTATTCAAATCTATTTTAGTGATCATGTTCAGGCTCAACACAATCACTTCACATTTCTGTAGCTCTTTATTGCATAGCCTTTCACATTTATTACTTATTTTCACATCAACCTAGTGAGGTATGTAGTGCATATAATATTTCCAGTTTATAGTTGAGGAAACTAAAGCAATGGCAGGGTAAGTGACTTGCCAAAAATTACACTGCCATTAAGATGCAGAACTAATTGTAGGTCCTAGGCCTAGGGACTCTAACCCACTGCTTGCAGTGGTTCTCAAACTTCAGCAGGTCTTAGAATTACCTGTTAAAACAAAATCTCTTGGGGCACCTGGGTGGCTCAGTTGGTTGGGCATCTGCCTTTGGCTTGGGTCATGGTCCCAGCATCCTGGGTTTGAGCCCCACATCAGGCTCCCTGCTCAGTGGGGAGCCTGCTTCTCTCTCTCCCTCTGCTGCTCCCCGTGCTTGTGCTCTCTCTTGTGTATATGCTTTCTCTCTCAAATAAATAAATAAAATCTTTAAAAAAACCCAAAAATAAAAAATAAAATCTCTTATTAAGAAACAGGCTGGTCTCCAGAATTTCTGATTCAGTAGTTCTGGTGGGGGGGGGGGCGGCAAGAATATGTATCTCTAACAAGTTGCCAAGGGAAGCTGATGCTGCTGATCCAGGGAGGGACCTCACTGTGAAAACCAGTGAGCTATACCATGCTGTCTCCTCACTGAATTAAGCTGAATTATAATGCATATTCAGAAAGCCTGAATTATCTGATGTTTCTTTCTTATATAAGTTTCTTAATATAACTAAACTATTTGACAGATGGAAGTGGATTCTTTTAGATGTCACAGTAACTTGTCATAAACCAGAAAATACTTAACAAAGACAAATCTCTGGCTGTGAACAGAAAACATCTGATTTACTCTAAGTAAATAGTTACTCTAAACTAAATAAAATGATTGAAATTCTTCCCAAACCAACACTTACTAACCCAATGTGTCCTTTTAGTTTTTTCCTCTTAATCTGTTCATGTCCTCAGAAGTCAACCTCAATTACGTGAGATATATGTTGTTTAACAATAAAAAGAAAAACACACCCTATAATCTGAAATGTTATAATACTTACATTTTCTGTAGTTCCAGTAATTACATGGAGGCCATCATATGTTGATTTGATATACATACCCTAGAAAAAGACAGCATCAAAAAAAAAAAAAGTGAAGCGACTGGAATGTTTTCAAGTATATTACACAATCATTTACAAAAAATTATCCTATCAAATTGCCACATACTCCATGATTCCATATTCAATAATGCCAACTTTAAACTAGTAAAAAATTCCTATCTGAATGTTCTGGTTTCTAAAGTTTGCCCGAAGAAGCCTGTCCTCAACTTAATCAAATAACTACTTGATAAGTAAATTGCCTGTGAAACTTATAAAATGTAGCATGGTAATTCAATATTCTGAAGAAAGAACGCACCTCACTCCCCCAACAGTCCTTACTATTTGTTCTGTGGCAAAATAAAAGTAATAATGGGAAATTCAAATATTGGTTATTAGCATATTATAGTTGATACATATTACACAACAAAGAGTAGGTTTCTACAGAGCCACTTCAACTACAACCAACTAGAGACAGAAGAGTGATAAAATATTGTTAATGTAAACTTTTTCTCCATCTCTTTTGTGAAATCCTGTATTTCCTGCCTTTATTTTCATTGATGAAGTTTTAATAATTATATCCAACACTTCTATATCAATAATTAAGAGGTAATGTGTGGCAAGCCCTCCTCCTAATAAAAAGGGTAAGATTCCATTTCCCATTTAAATAAAGCCATTTTAGAAAATGCTTTATTACATTTTAAAGATTATCTAGAAATCCTGAAATTATGTCAGCTTTATGAGCAAACAAAAACTTTAAATTATGGACAGTGGGAGAACTTGAAAGGGAAAAAATCACAAGAATATACTCACATTGTAAATGTTAAAATATTTTCATTTAAGTAAAAAAAAAAGATGGGGAAAAAAAGATTTTTCTTCCTCTCTAAGGAAGATTGTTACTTTTCTCTGGGAAAAAATTACCCAAGTTTTACTTACACAACTGCCTTGCATTTCAAAATATTGATTAAAAAATAAAAAAATATGAATTTTAATGAACTCAAAGTCTAAAATATAATGGACTTAACAATAACCAACAATATTATTTCAGAAAAGCATTAATTTTAGCACTTATATAGACAATTACTACAATGTTAATTTCCCATACCTTTAGGTTAATTACATATTTAGATAACTGAATGTTCATGTATTTCATTGGAAATAAGTAAGAAATAAAAACAAGAAGCAGTAAAGTTCATGGGATGGTACTATTAAAAAACTGGGTAGGCGTGAATTCTGAAGTCATTTCAGTAATGTCTTATGTCTAAAATGTTGGTACCTGTTCCAAAAATGGATAAGCCTGGATCACTAACATGAAAGAAAATGAATGTGATTTAAAAGGTGTTCATTTACCTGTGAACTCTAGTATTTTAAATGCAACTTCATTATTTCATATAAAATAAATAACCTCAACAGAAGTACATATAGAAATTAAGAAATTGGCTAGCTGTTGTTGCCTATGACCATGTGGTAATATTCAACCCTACACTGGTGACAAGTGTGCAGCATACTTACTTTTTAAGTTCATACTTATCCCATTATTTATGGGAAGGTAAATATAATGATGCCATTATAGAACTTAGAAGAGGACAAGATCCTTGTCATCATCTTCCTCCAGGAATTAACAAAATTACAACAGATTAATAAAGACTCTCAAAATATATTTGTAAGAGCTAAACACTAAATTTTGTCTCAGGACTGTGAAGGACTGTGAGAGAATAAAGTGGGAAAAGACAGGGAAAGAAACAGTATATATTACTTGGACATACAAAACAGCCATCACTTATCATTCTCTATCACCATCATCACGGAAAGCTACTGGTTACAATGTACCAGGGACTGTTTTACTTCACAATAGCCAATGTGGTATAAACTATCATTACTCCTGTTTTATTTTTTTTTTTTACTCCTGTTTTATTTTTTTAAAAAATATTTTATTTATTTATTTGAGAGAGCGAGAGCACGAGAGGGGGGAGGGTCAGAGGGAGAAGCAGACTCCCTGCTGAGCGGGGAGCCTGATGCAGGGCTGGATCCTGAGACTCCAGGATCATGACCTGAGCCGAAGGCAGACGCTTAACCAACTGAGCCACCCAGAGGCCCCTCATTACTTTTGTTTTAGAGATAAAGAAACTGAGGCACAGAGAAGCTGGGGAGTCTGCCCAAGGTGGTGAGGCCAGGTTTCAAGCCTAAGCAGTCTGACTCCAGACTACACTTTCTTTTTTTTTTTTTTTTAATAATTTTTTTATTGTTATGTTAACCACCATACATTACATCATTAGTTTTTGATGCAGTGTTCCATGATTCATTGTTTGTGCATAACACCCAGTGCTCCACGCAGAATGTGCCCTCTTTAATACCCATCACCAGGCTAACCCATCCCCCCACCCCCCTCCCCTCTAGAACCCTCAGTTTGTTTTTCAGAGTCCATCATCTCTAATGGTTCGTCTCCCCCTCCGACTTACTCCCCTTCATTCTTCCCCTCCTGCTATCTTCTTCTTCTTCTTTTTTTTCTTAACATATATTGCATTATTTGTTTCAGAAGTACAGATCCGTGATTCATCAGTCTTGTACAATTCACAGTGCTCACCATAGCACATACCCTCCCCGATGTCTATCACCAAGCCACCCAATCCCTCCCACGCCCCACCACTCCAGCAACCCTCAGTTTGTTTCCTGAGATTAAGAATTCCTCATATCAGTGAGGTCATATGATACATGTCTTTCTCTGACTGACTTATTTCACTCAGCATAACACCCTCCAGTTCCATCCACGTCGTTGCAAATGGCAAGATCTCATTCCTTTTGATGGCTGCATAATATTCCATTGTGTATATATACCACATCTTCTTTATCCATTCATCTGTCGATGGACATCTTGGCTCTTTCCACAGTTTGGCTATTGTGGACATTGCTGCTATAAACATCAGGGTGCACGTACCCCTTCGGATCCCTACATTTGTATCTTTGGGGTAAATACCCAGCAGTGCAATTGCTGGATCGTATGGTAGCTCTATTTTCAACTGTTTGAGGAACCTCCATACTGTTTTCCAGAGGGGTTGCACCAGCTTGCATTCCCACCAACAGTGTAGGAGGGTTCCCCTTTCTCCGCATCCCCGCCAACATCTGTCGTTTCCTGACTTGTTCATTTTAGCCATTCTGACTGGTGTGAGGTGGTATCTCATTGAGGTTTTGATTTGGATTTCCCTGATGCCAAGCGATGTTGAGCACTTTTTCATGTCAGACTACACTTTCAACCACTAGGCTCCTGATTTATCGATTTATTAATAGGACAGTTGTGTACCTTCACTTTTCTTATTATAACATAATATTTGGCAACTGTAGGTATTAAAGTCAACTATTCACTGTTTAACATCTATGCTAAAAGACTGAGACCAGTTTGGCACACATGTACTATGTGCAATGTGGTTATAAAGAGTAACTGGGTCTCCTATTTTACAAATTTATTTTATTGCCCCATCTCCTCTGAAAATGGTAGGCAGAAGTTGATTATGTTTCTCTCTACATTTCTTTCAACACTGCGTATTACTGATTATGAATTCAGATATTTGACAAGAGCTCTAAATAGTCTCATTAATGATTAGGTCATAGAGAAAGTCTAATATCCTAAGATAAATGTTTAGAAAAGGCAATATAGTCATGGAGATAATAAAAACTCATGGACATAATCTAGTTGTGCCTCTGGAAATAAAATTTGTGTGCAATTATTACACACACCAGGAACCTCAAAAGTGGCAACTGTAAGCTAAAGTGGGTATCTGTTATTTAAAGGAAGAAAATCTCATCATTATTTACATATAATTAAATGCTATATGACATTAAAGTTAATTTTTTCAGATGGATAAAAATATTTTTAAAATGCTTAAATAAAGGAGGATCTAACTATGTATACAGAATTCAATTCTAGTAACCTCACAGAAGCAATTTTAAAACTGCCACAAAGAACGAAGATATTGTTTTATTCAATATTTTCATTTTTAACCTTAATAAGCCACTTGTTGTAAATGCTTTTAATAATCAAAACTGACTTCATTCTTTTTATTTCCCTCTGGTGGTATTAATGAGAAAAATGGCCAAAAAAGTCAGGTACCCAAAGAAAGTAAAAGAAGCAAGTTGCTTGGATGAGGTTTCAAATTAACCATCTTCCAAACAATGAAGAGTCCACAGAACTACAGCTGATCACTTGTTCATCTCTGAGAAAGGGTCAAACAGCAGGACATGTAATTCAAATGGTTCTTTTTCTGGAACTGAGACTAATCTGGTCTTCCATTTCATCAAAACCTTTATTCTTCCTTCTTCCTTCTTTTTTCTTTAAACAATTAATTAATTCTGGAGCTGACTGGAACAGCTCCCTCTTTCCTGCTTAGCTTGCCAAAATGACATTTGCTTCACTTGGTCTCCAAATGTCAGTTAACCAATGGAAGCCAAAGCAACCTTACAGTCAAGTCAATAGAATAAGGCATATTTGAGGATAATCTAAGTGTCTAATAGCAAAAGAGCTCTCTGAGGCCAAGAGGCTTCCCCAAGGATGTCGCCCCAAGCCCCTTCCTCTCTATTCAACTCATCTCTTGGTTCTGATCTAGTTTTGATATGTTCCAATAGCTCTCATTCTCCCTCCTTTAATTTTCTGCTAATCATCGTTGTTTAAAAGCATTTTAGAAGCTAGTTGCATATTTAATCATAACAAGTACATTTCCCATCATTCGTTATAATGCTTAGAACTCTCAAAACTAAGAAATCCTAGGGGATTTTACTAATTAGGTAGAAAGCTGATGAACAATCTATCCAGTTTATCAGTGGAAGAACCAAGCAATTACCTTTTGCCTATGAAAGATGTTGTTTTGAAACTCGCAGAAACCTTCTGCAGCTAATTAAACTTCCTTAAAGCTTGGTATTCTCCCACCTTTATTTCTTTCCTTCATTTACCATTTAGACATTTCCTATGGCTAAGCACATGCTAAATATTACCAAAATCCTCAGATCTATTTATTTCAAATATGACTGACTAAACTTGCTTAATGGTATCTGATTTTTAAAATGATTCCTTGAATAAATCATAAAAATTTCTATTTAGGCATCTCTTTAACATGAATCACAAGAAATAGTTTTTATTTCACTTTTTTAAAGATTTTATTTATTTATTTGACAGAGAGAGACACAGTGAGAGAGGGAACACAAGCGGGGGGAGTGGGAGAGGGAGAAGCAGGCTTCCCGTGGAGCAGGGAGCCCGATGAGGGGCTCGATCCCAGGACCCTGGGATCGTGACCTGAGCCGAAGGCAGACGCTTAACCAACTGAGCCACCCAGGAGCCCTTTATTTCACTTTTTATTTATTTTCAACATTTTGGATTTTTCTTTTCCTCCTTTGGAAATATTTTCCCAGTGAAGTGCTGCCAATTGTCCTTTAAAAATGATTTCTCTAGGTGGTTCCAGTTTTAAAGTTACCCTCTTAAACCTCTCACACTTCCCTTTGGCAATTCCAACTTTAAATGTGGGATAATGGAACAAGCTTTGTTAAGATGTACTTTATGGAGATATACCTGGACTTAACCCTGCCTCTATTGTATATTACCTATGTGACACTATTTTATTATCTCCATGACTAGATCTGTGACTCCATTTTCTCATTTGCAAAATAAGAAAGTATCTACTCTAAAGAGTTGTGAGAAAATACTTGACAAATGGTAAGCACTCAGGTATTTTCTTTTCCAGCTCTTTCTCAGACTAACTGAATCTGGTTATTAGCATTTTAAGATCACGACTGTTTCAAAGGCTGGACCCAGATCTACCCCTTCCAAATTCAAAAAATAAAAGACATGTCCAAGGCTATACCTCTTTCATTAAAAACAAGTCAAGATTTCATAACGTCAATTAGCACTGTACTGACTCACTTCATATGGTTACTATTTCCCATGATTTCAGTGGAAATTAGTGGGGGAAAAAATCAGGCTCTTTTCTCCAAATCCTGTCCTTAGCACCACAGACTCACAGAGCTAGAGGAAGCCTTAAGGTTGATCTAGTCCACCCTCCCTTCCCGACCCCAACATTCTACACATGAAAGTAGCAAGGCCAAGGAGGTTAAATTTACTCCTCCACCTCCTCAAGATCACACTCACAGCTATATTTTATGTAAGTGATTTGTATCCAGGTGTCCTGACTCCTAGTCTAATATAATATATATTAATTCTTAATTTCCCACTCTACAAATCATGCTGAGACAGCTTCCTTTCCTTTATAACTACTGAAAAGGGAAATATAGAAAAGAAACTCTTCAATATTATAGGTTGAAAGATGCTTTAAATGAAACTGGACTGTGTAAAGATAACCAAAAGGAATAGTAAGAATTTAAGATTATAAATATTACTACAAATAAGTTTATAAATGCTAAAAATAAGCTCTTAAAATTAAAATTAGATATTACACTTATAGGCTATGATGATGACATACTTGCTGACATAATGATTTCCATCTTCCTAGGAAAACACTGATAAAAGCCACAAAAGCATGAAAAACTATAGTTACCAAAAAGTAATTTGCCAAGTATCAGCAGAAAAGTCACTCTATTGAATAGATGGCCTCACTCTGAAAATTCACTGTTAGGAATTGAAGAAAAGCCACATAAATATTAAACTTGTTTAGAGGTCTTTAAGAATATTAGCTGAATTATATTATTTCCAAGATTTCTATTTTCTAAAATATCAATAATTATATCCTAGGAAAATTCATTCACAGGGAGGAAGTAGAAACACTGCAGCACCAAACTAACAAGCCATGGTTGTGTAGTGGGTAAGATGTTCTCTAGCCAGTTTCTTGTTTTCTGTCCCTCTCTCTCATTAATATTAATTTTATATGCTTTCTTCCTAGAGGCCTACTAAAGAAAAAACTCTCCTTTGGGTTAAATTTAGAATCAATACAATTTTTAATCAAGTGAACAAAATATAGAAGATGATTATCTTTATTATTGCATAATAAAAAATACATCTCCTAGATGTCAGCCTGGTTTTGGCAAAACCCACCTGCTTACTCACCCTTTTAAGAAAGAACGGATGTGAGTTATAAACAATATCGGGTTTGTCTAGCTTACACAACCTAAGGGAAAAGAGTCCTATTAAAACCACAACAAACCAAAGCAAAACAAACAAAACACCTACTTGCAAGGGCAGGTAACACTGGTTCTTAGTATAAAACTCTTAAACTTCCTTTAAACCTAAGGAACTTTGGTAGGGGGTGAAAGAACGCAATAAAAGCTAATTTAATACCAAAGTAAACAAGATAATTTAGAAATCTCATTTTAAATTCTCTTTCATTTTCATTTATCTTCATAAAACTTCTTATAGTGACAAACTCCCACTACTTTAATTTATCCCTAGAAAAAAAATACCAAAATATTCAAAGTTCGTTAGAATTTATGGATTCCCATATTTGGACGCCGCTTTGCCCACATAATTAGCTGTCCACTGATGGATGGTGGCTTTGACAAACATGGTAGCTCTTACCAGCCCTTCACTTGGTTTGATGTTTGCCAGCTGAATCACTTCTAGGTGTGCAGACTGTGAAACCAGAGGATCTGATGACAGGGATATGATGTGGTCACAGACTCCAGAAAGAGTTTTACACTGAAAGAAAAAATTATGGTAAACACATGTTGTTTGTAACATATGAATCACTTTTTGTTTTGTTTTAACTTTCTTACAAGGAAAAATAAAAGAAATAGTAGAAGTAGTTAACATTTTAGTCTATAAAATCTGCATAAGAAAGATATTCAGGTGAAAAAATACACACACACACACACACACACACAACACACCTATATTCTAAATTATGGATATAGGAGCTAAACATCGAAGTATTCAAGAAAGTTATGGGTTTGTTTCTATTATTTTATTATTTGATTTGTCAGACGTAAAATCAAAGATTGTTTTTAAACAAGCTTAATAATTTGAAAAGTTCTTGATAATAACCATTGGATTGAATTGAACTCAATAATTTCCAAAACACCAATGATCATGATCAGAAAAGTTTAAAAAAAATCCAGTCAATGACCAGGAAGATGAATCTTCCAAATCTGCTCAGTGAACTCCTCCTACTTATTTGTCTAGACTTTACTGCTCAAGGTTACCTTAGTATAAAGTTTCCTACCTCCTCCAGGCAAAGTTCGCCACTTCCTCAATACTGGTTTCCCAGCATTCTGTGAAGTCTGAAATTGTCTAATTTCATTCTGAAGCCCTCTGGAGGCAGGAACCACGTCCTACTCATCTCTGACTTCTCTTCCTCCCCTCCCCCTACCAACCACCCACAGCAGGTAGAGAGATCCTACAAAATATAAGGTACTCAATAAATACGAGCTGAATAAACTGAAGAGCAAATGAGCTTTAACACTTTAATTAGAGCGCGTGGATTGAGGACAGAAAGCCAGTACTTTAGGTTAGGATAAATCCATTCATGCTGCTTACAGAACAGATTTAAAATGTTACATCCATAATGATATGGTTAAGAGTTAGACATGGTAAAATCATGAAGAATGTGGAACATAAGTGAATGAAGCTTGGCATATACTCCCCTCAAATATGTTGGCCCTTAGATGCTTCAGACTCTCGCTGTACTTACTGAAACCTGGTGTCCATTATTTGGTTTATTATTATTATTATTATTATTTTACCTTTATTGTGGGAAGAGCCATTATTTTGCAGCAATCAAGGTATGTTCTTCTATCCATTTCCAAGATGTCACATTTGTTCTGTGACCACTGCATTGCTCTATTGTTAAGGGAGACAGTTCTCTCTGCCTGGTCAAGATAATAAGGACTCTCTTTTTATTTGCTGCATTCTGTACATGGCCCATGGCCTCTCAGTCTGTGCTGGGTTCAGCTTCCTCACACCAAACAAACTGCGAAACTAAATTTCCCTCGTAATTGCACTCTTTTTTGCATCTGCTTCTCAAGGCTGCACTTTTATTGTAGCCATCAGCCTCCAGAGCCAGACATCAGCCAGCAAGATACCAATACCCATGGAAAGAATGTGGGCTTGATATGAAGACAGATGTGGGCAATCACCACACTGCTAGTTACTTGCTGTGTAACTGTCAGCAAGTTATTTTATACACTTGAGGCTCAATTTCCTCTTGTAGAAAATGGGGTAATAAAAATTGCTTTATATGGTTTATATGACAAATCAGGTTAATGTATAAAAAAAGAGCCTAATATGGCTCCTCTCCAAAGAACATACTAAATAAAAGCTTATTTTTCCCTGGTTGCTTTCTCTACCCTCAAAGGACTTAATCCTTACTCATGGGATGAATTATCTCATTACTCTTCATTACATGGCTTTGTTGACCATGTTACAATGACCAGTAACCATACTGCATGGTCATGATGGGAGAGTTCACATTTCTTTATTCTCTCTGATGTTCAAATCTTAGTGCTCAGATATAATGAAAGTATTTATCCTGAAGAGCTGCTAAGCATAGTGCCAAGAGGAAGACCACCTCCCAGAACTTGGGAATCCTACAGGGCCGGATGTGGGCACGTGCCCTGTGCAGTTGCACAGGGGCCTGCACTTAGTATTATGCTCTGCTCTTATGGTCTTGGGATTTTCCACTGTTCTTGAACAAGGGAGGGACTTGACGTTTTTATTTTGTACTAGGTCTCACATATTATGTAGCACATCCTGGGACCCCAGTTGTGTGTGTGTACGTGTGTGTGTGTGTGTGTGTGTATGCTTTAAATCCTCTTGAAAATATTCATCAGCAGCCATGGGGAAAAGGACAGAATGGCAGCACTTAACATACAATAACTGGCTGATGTTTGAAAGGGAAGAGAACACTCTGGGGCAGATTTAAATCTTTTAGCTATTCCTTTCCTCTCATGTGTGGGTACATTTTCATTCTTATTTTCTCTTTATCTCAAAGGGGGAGATAATATAGTTAATTCTTAAAGAATTTTTCAATAGGATGCTTGGATTGTATGATAATCTAAAGGATATATTAATCTAAATCAGTATGCCAAAAGAAATCTAATAATCTAAAGGATATATATGTTTATATATATACATATATATGTTTATATATGTATATATTAATCTAAATCAGTACATTAAAAAGAAACCTTCATAGTTTCTACAAATTGAAATATTTCAAGAGTCCAAAGCATAAGTAAATAGGAAAGTAATGGACATATATAAATGGCTCAATATGTGTACATTACAATATTCAGGGCCTCATAGAACACACTGGTAATGAGCAAGAGTAGCTCTTGTATTCAGGCACTGGAAGCACTTAGAAGTGGGGTACAAGGAGGAAAGGCGGAAATACTAGACTGGAGATGTGTTTACAAAAAAGAAAATACCAATTAAATCCACCGTATTAAGTTGCAAATCATTTTCTCTGATTCCTCTTCTTGAGTAATTTTGTTTGCCAAATACTTGCTATGTGCAAGGTCTGCTGGAATACAAAAGATGAGTAAAACATTGACTTTACCAGAAAAGTCATCAGGATTTAACAGATTAAAGATCTTGAAAAAAATAATAGAAAGACTTAGAAAAGAAACTCCACTAGAACCTTGCTGCCTGTTTTAGAGATAATGTACTAGAACCTTTATATTGTAGTATTTGGCACTTGACTAAGTAAGCCAATTAGAAGGGGTATAAAATGGCCTGGCTTTATATGCTAATTCTGTACTCATTACTGCATCATACATCAAGGCACTGCAGGAAACCACATTAAGAATACTAGGCAAAGTTCCAGGGAAGTTATTTAACACATTCTTGTAAAAAGTAAATTTGCTCATTCAGTAAAATCGTGTGATATTATGTTGTTAACATTATAAAGCACAGTATTATCTACTGCTACTTAATAGTATATTCTAGAAAAAGAAAATTATCAGATGGTAAGAAAAATACATCCTTTATTATTATAAGTGTACATCAATATTACAGAGCACCTACCACATGTCTGGCACAATGCTAAATAGCTGACCTTTGAACAACATGGGTTTTAACTGAGTGGGTCCACTTATATGCAGAATTTTTAGAGTACAGTCCTGTGAATGTATTTTCTCTTCCTTAGGATTTCCTTAATAACATTTTCTTTTCTCTAGCTTACTTTATTGTAAGAACACACTATAAATACATATACAAAGTATGTGTTAATTAGCTATCTCATAGGTAAGGCTTCTGGTCAACAGTAGGCTATTTAATAGTTAAAGGTTTTGTGGAGTCAAAAGTTATATGCGGGTTTTCAGCTGCGTAGTGGTTCAGTGCACTGTTCAAGGGTCAATCATGCTCCATATTCATTATATCATTTATCCTTATAACAAGTTCCTGAAGTAGATATTATCTTAGCCAGCATAGCGGAGGAGAAAGCAAGGCAAAATAAACAGATCAAGGTCAGTGCCTTGGCAGAAGGACTTGAATTCTTAATCATTATGCTTACCATCTCTTATTTCAATCCTTAAGTTTCAACTTGTTTTTGATCAATTTCATTTTGTATTGCTTAAAACCTAGGTCTGTATTAAATGGATGTTATAAAGCACATTTAAACTACATAGTATAATGAAATATAAGCCAATCTTGCAAGCCTTCTTGCAATTTAGAATGCCGTTTAGATAAGGAGTAGTAGATTTGAGACTGTGAAAGGCACAGCTCTCTGGGAAAATTTAAAGTCATTTTAGCAGCAAAAGAACAACTCTATTCTAGCTAGAAGATGACTTGGTAATCACTTATATTAAGGGTATTCTTCTGCTATTTTTTGCAATATTCATACCAAAGAATTTTAAATTCTATTTATTTTTAATTCTAAAAACAGAAAGAAAAATTTGAACCTAAAATTAAGGCCTAGTAAATAACATGCCTTTAATAAAGCTAAAGGGAACATAAGATGGCAATGAGTATTATAACTGACCCTGTGGATTCTGTTATAAGCTACCCAAGATGGTGACAAAAAATTAGTGACTAAATAGCAGGTGACAAACAAGGCTAGCTATGACTCAAGAACCTTTTAAAACAAAAGAGGGTCATGGCTAGAATCAGTGGTACTGTGACTTTTTTTTCCCTCAGTAGTTCATATTAATTTCAGTTATGATTTAATATAATAGAACATATTCTCAGAATGAAATGGAAAGTTTTCATATTCTGTTCTACATACATAATATATTTTATATATATTTGCATATATGTGTATGGCTAGTTCACCTAAAACTAAAAGTTCTAAAGGGAAAAAAGATCCGAGCACGTTTAGTATAAGACAAATGGTTTTAAAACAGTTGTAAAAGCAACATTTTAGGGGGTGCCTGGGTGGCTCAGTCGGTTAAGGGTCTGCATTAGGCTTGGGTCGTGGTCACAGGGTCTGGGATAGAGCCCTGCATCTGGCTCCCTGCTCAGTGGGGAGTCTGCTTCTCCCTCTCCCTCTCCCCCTGCTCATGTGAGTTCTCTCTCTCTCGCTCACTCTCTCTCTCAAAAAAATAAATAAAATCTTTAAAAAAAGCAACATTTTAGTCTCTGTGGAGATTCAAAAAACAGCAACCTTACATTAATTATATTAATATATAATACATTATATATTAATAATAACAGCATTATTTCATTATCACCAGCTTTATCAAGTACTTATTAATATGTGAAGT